GGTTGTAAAAGAATTTGAATTTCGACATTTTTACAATTTTGAAACTTTATAAATTTCATTTTCTTTCCTTTTAATTTTCTATGTTATTATTCATGGTTGAGCCAGGAGATTTTGACGTTGCAATTGAGTTTGCAGGAGTGCTTGAAATTATAGGTTTTATTGTTTATATATGATTTCCTCTCCTTTTAATTTCCTTCAAACCTTTTCACCCAAATCCGTGCTNAGTTATTATTGTTTATATATGATTTCCTCTCCTTTTAATATCCTTCAATCCTTATCACCCTAATCCGTTCTTCAATTGAAAATATGTGCTATAAATTTAAAAGTGCAAAGGATTAGGACTTGGTTAAGATTGCTGGGCACTTTATTTCTGTTGGACAGTTGAAAGAAAAAATATTTGAATCAAAGCATTTTGGCAAGGGTACTGATTTTGACCTCCTCATCGGTAATGCCGAGAGTAACGAAGGTCGGTTTGATTCTAAAAAAATATTCTTTAGACTTCGAAATCCTTAAAACATATTCTTGGCAAGTCAATTGTTAGGGCTTCACCACTTCAAGGTTTGCATCTTGATCGAACTCAAAGGAAGAGAGCATCAACCTAAAACTATATAAAATGATTGAACTCAACTGTGGGAGTGAAAATTGAATTTCAGGGACCATAAAGCCATAACTGAGCTCAAGGAGGGGAGAAGCAACGTGCAGTATATTGAGAAAGAAGAAAAAGCAACATTGTTGCGGGAGATAATTTAAATACTCTTACAAGATTGAGCGACCGCAGCAAAAGCTGATATCGGCAGCAAGAATTTTTTTACAAATACGGTAAATGAAGCATCTTTCTTGAATTGCTCCTCCTACCCTGTTCACAAAGCGTCTTTCTTTAATTGCTCGTCTCCGTGGAAACCAACCTAATTGTTGCAAAAGACCCCACACCTTTAAAACCATCCCAGTTAAATAACTCAACACATTGGCGAGTTAATTTGGCTGGAAATTTGTTGACTGGGAAAATGCAACAGACTCAGTGCTACTTAATTGGCCTCATTCCCTTAGCTCGTATAGTTGACTAATTTTATCGAGGAAAAATTGCTCCTTCAAAAAGAAGGTAAAGAGCAGAAATACCAAAAAGTAGAGAGTAAACTAAAACAGAAGAAATCCAAGAAATTTCTAGGATTACCGAATGCGAGTTATATGGCGAAA